TGGGGCTCTTTATCTGGTCCACTCGCTGACGTGTTCACACTACTCAAAGCCGCGTCTGGCATATAGTAGGTGCTTAATTGTTGCAAGAACGGATGGATAAATGGATGGATGGATGGTTGGATGGGGAAAGAGGGAACAGCCAGGATCCCCGTCCCTCCACAGGGACAGAAGTCGCCAAGGGGAGGGGGCCAAGAAGGGCCAGATATTGTGGGTCTAGCAGCATGGTGCTCATCTTGGTGGGTGGGTGGGGGGTCCACATCCAGACACCCTCAGCTAAGACATCAGGCACAAAATTATTGCCACCCCTGGGAGCCTGGAAGGACTGCTCAGACCATTTATACAAAGGAGAGGGTGACAGTCCCTCCAGGAAGGAGGGTCACCCAGCAGGACCCAGTGTCTCCGGACAGTTTATTTTACATGGGATGAGTCTAACCATCTTGAGTGTATACACAGAGCCAAAGTCGGGGTGGGGGGGGGGGAATGAGAGAGCATCTCACTTCCTGAAAACCCTTTAGAATAATGCAAAACAAGTATATATAGTGAACGCCTTCAAAATTTAAACCCTTTAAACATTTAATTCTTTAGCATTAATACACACAAATGCTATTACGGGAGGTGGGGGTGGGGGGAGGGGGGAAGGGCGGGTTACAGCCTCTATAGGGATCGGAGTTTCAACAGTGTTACTTATAAATTATAGTACATCAATTTTATTTACTGATCTAGGCAGCCAGAGGGTGGAAAGATATACAATGTGGAGTAAACACATTCATACCGGGATGAGGAATGCTGGCAGGAGACACGGCTTTTTTTAACATTAAAAATGTATAAAGTATTTAGCAAAAGTTACAGAAAACAGACCAAATAAGCAAGTTTATTTTGTTAGAAAATCCCAGTCGTAGGGTTTGCTGATGTGCTCGTCTGTGAAAGGACCGCCCCCCCCCCCCCCCCCCCCCCCCCCCCCCCTCTCCCTCCCCCCGGGAGGGGAGAGAAGCAAAAGTGGGGCCCCCTCACCAAGGATGGCTGGTGTCCCTCTGAATGTCTGTTCTTGGGTCCACACGGCTGCCTGGAGACCACAGCTCCCAGCGGCTTGTCTGCGGCGTGTGATGCTGGAAAGGGCGTGTCTCCGTGTGCTTGACAGAGTAAGGAGGTCCCAGGAGGAAATGTGACTTTAGTTTGGGTTACAGGACCCACGAGGTGGTGGACCGGGGCCAGTCCAGTGCTCTTAACCTGGCGCCAAATGCTTTCCTACTCCATCCCCATGATGGCACCTGTGTGCCCAGACCCTCTGGAGACCCACCACTGCCATCCTGTTAGGACTGCCCCCCCAACACAAGGGATCAGCGTCCCCCAAACCACACCCAAAGAAAGACCCAAAGACGCCCCCAGCCCCCTCAGAGGCACCGCCCAACAAGGACTCCTTTCTAAGTCCCGGCATCAAAAGGGTTAGGGAAAACAGAACATCAGTTCCTGTCACCTCATTCTCACCCAGACCTGCTGCAGCAGGAAGGGGGACCTTCACCTTCAGGAAAAGGCCAGACAGAAGTAATACTCCCATGGGGGCGGGGCGGGGGAATGCCAAGAATCATCCCTGGCAAAACTCAACTCAGATGTGCCCAAGAACGGGGTCCCGCAGACTTGGGCTCCATGGCCCACCCCTCTCCCCCTGGCCTGGCCCCAGGAATGTCTTCCGTTTGCTCGGAGGGCTACCTGGTTGCCTCCAAGGGCTCACCTCTCCTCCAGCAGGGCACCATCGAGACCCGACTGGGAGGAGTCATCACCTGGGTAGGGGGGTGGGGGGATCATGCTCCTTGCCTGCCTGGCGTTGGCTGGGTCCTGGGCTCATCTCTGCCACCATCTGCCGCTCCCCTCCCCCTCCTGGGGGCTGCAGGCACAGGCTTGGCTTGGTGTGACCACCAGCTCAGCGAGGGTCCAGCAGTGCCAAGCTCACGGGAAGAGGCTTTGTCTCCATGCTGCTTGCCTTGGTCCTTGGAAATAGACCTCAGGACATGAGATCTAAGATCGGGGTCGGCGGGGAGACCCCGAAGGTAATGACGTACAAGTGTTCCTTCCAGGGCCCTAGGCGGAACTCCCTCATTCTCAACAGCTCGGGAAACGCTTAATTTTAGCTCCATTCGTGTCTAAACGAGAGAAGCGCCAGGGGATCCCTCTAGGGAGGACTTCAGACATCACCACGCACAAGCATGCCGATGGGGCTCAGGGCAGGCATGAGAGTGTCAGGTACAGACCTGGAGAAATGAGAAGGGGAGGAGGGGGAGCAGTAGGTGGAGGAGACTGGGGAGACCAGAAGGCACAGCTGTGGCCTGCTGATGGAGCAACAGAGATCCGGGGAGAGGCCATGGCCAGCCCAAGGTTGCCCTCTGCGTTTCCACCCGCACTCTGTCCATTCACCTTCCACGCCCCCCTCATGAGGCTCAGTAGAAGCCGAAGGCCATGTGAGCTGAAGCGAGCCCCCCTCCCTCCCCAGGAGTGCATGGATCTACCAGCCAAAGTGTAAGCTTCGGGGTGCAGCAGAAGTGGAAGGCACCCCTCCCCCAGCCCCCCAGCACTTTTCCGCACAAAAACCTATAATGAACCATGAGGGCAAGTGTGAGCCCCAAGAACGATGGCGGGCATGGCTGGCATTGGAGGAGCCTCAGGAAGCACAGGGATCACCCGTGCAAACAAGCTGAGGACCCCAGGCCTGGAGCCTCCAAGCCAAACAACGCATTTCACAAGCGAGGAAGCCCGTGGTTCGCCCGTGTGACAGCGTGCGACTCCACGAGACATGGGACGTGCTAGGGACGCACACAACGTGGGTGACCCGAAGCACGAAGCCAGGGGAAAGCAGCCAGACTCGATGGCTATATCAGGGGCTCCTTTCATAGGACATTCTAGAAAAGGCAACCCCATAGGGTCTGACAATTCATTGGGGGTCGCCCGGGGGGGGAGCAGGAAGGGGAGCGGGTGTGGATGATCAGCTCTTAAAGGAGCTGGAGGGAATTTTCAGGCGTGAGAGAAACAGGATGATGATTTCGGTGGTGGTTGTAAGACTGTAGGGTTGTTAAAATTCACGGAACCCTATCCTTCAATAGGGTGCATTCCACTATAGGTCAGCAAACTTTAATACTGTATGTTTAAAAAGCTCAATCTGAAAACAAAACAAAACAAACAAACAAACAAACAAAAAAAAAACCCAAGGTGGTAGGTCTGGGAGGGGTGGGAGGATTCGGGGGATATACTGGTCTGTACCCCACTTAACACGCCTCAAGTGCTTTCCCTATCTACCTAACCATCAGCGGGTCTGTAGAATCCTGTTTAAACTCTCCCTGTCAAGGCCACTCATGGCTGGAAGTAAAATCACTTCAACAAGCCAAAGTCTTTGACGTCCTTTGAAGTTTATGGCTTGTATTTCCAAGAAGGGACTTTGGTTCCGCCAAAATTCTTTTGTACCCATCCACTAAGCTAGTAATTGATTGGTTTTCACAAAGGGAAGAGAAACAGCCGTCCTCCCCACTGGTTTGTGAGCGTGGACACTGTTCTTTGCTCGCTCCGGTCATGAACCAGCCCCAGGAAGAAGCGCCTCCTTGGGCAGAGATCCTCCCGGCCTGACAGGCACTGGGTGGGGGGCACAAAGAAGGCCCAAGGTGGTCCCACAGGCAGCTGGCCTTGTGGTTCGGTCATCCAGGGCTTGGCAAGACTGATCAAAAGCGACAGAAGGAACAAGTGGCTTTGCTGCACCAACCAACGCACTTTGAACACCATTTATCTTAGAGAATTTTCCCCCCAAAATCAAGTGCAATCATGTCTTATAGGAGGCAGGCAGAAAGGGCTCGCTTATTCTTAGAGGACCACGGATGTGCCTGGAATATTCCAGACACTCAGAACAAGCCCGGCCACATGCTCTTCTGACCTGAACACCTACATTGACAAGAATAAAGTAACTGGATAGAGGGCTACTCTGGAGCCCTGGGATGTTCTAGACCTCAGCCTCGTCTTGGTTCATCCAGAGCGGGAGCCCCGTTAACAGACCCCGCTCCTCACTCCCTGGGCTCATCGGGCATCCCTGGGCTTCGTCGTTCTTTCCTGTCAAGTGAGGAGAGTTATTTAAAAGAAACGAGAAAAATCTGAGATCTGAGTTGGATCCAGGCTGTGAGGGCCAAGGGATTCCATCCTTATTGTCCACCTTCCACCCAGCCAGGAAACACCACCCGGTGGTGGTTTGCGTTAGGATGCCAGGCTCCGAGGGGGTTAAACGTGGAAGGGGTGCCATGCTCTCTTTCCGCAGAGAGATCTAGAGAGCCCCCGCCTCCACAGAGAACAGAGGAGACGGGGAAAGAGTGTGTGTCCTGCCTGGCTTGACCCCAGTATCTGCTCAGTGGACGAACAAATGAATGTAGGTCTACCAGCCCAACAGAGAGAATCCCAAGAAACCTCAACTTTGCAAAGAGTGCTCGTACATGAAGGTCAAGGTTACTGACCTGCCAGATTCCTGGAGAAAACATATGTCTATGCAGAAAGGAGAGATGCTGGGCTTTCCCCTGCCCTGTGTTGTCCCCAGAACTCACTAAGCTCTTTGATGAAGGAAGGAGCACAGAGAAAAAAGAAAATAATGTGGGGCGCCTGGGTGGCTCAGCAGGTTAAAGCCTCCGCCTTCAGCTCAGGTCATGATCCCCAGGGTCCTGGGATCGAGCCCCGCATCGGGCTTTCTGCTCAGCAGGGAGCCTGCTTCCTCCTCTCTCTCTGCCTGCTTCTCTGCCTACTTGTGATCTCTGTCAAATAAATAAAATAAAATTAAAAAAAAAATAATGTGAGGAGGCTAATGAGCTCGGGCTGAGGGGGGGGTAGAAGCGGGGGAAGATTGACTTCAGAAAATCCACACTGGGCCAATTCAGGTTCCCCTGGGAGAGGCAAGAGAGCCCCCCGCCTCCTGTCTCCGGGAGGACCAGAAGACTCGGGAATCTTCGCAAGGGAGTGAGAAAAAAAAACCCAATGAGCCATAACACACTCAAAATATCTATGTTAGTAACAAGGCTATTGGCTTTGAACAGTTGAAAATCACCCACAAATTAGTCCACTCGGTCACAAGGCAATTCCTACCAGCACCCATTTTTCATAGACAAACCAAGACAGAACATCCTAAAATCAGTTGCTGGTGTCATGGCCCAACCCCCAATCCCGAAGGAGCGGTCCTCCCTGCCAGGGACAGATCCAACCTCCACACAGACCTTCTTGGTTGGGATGGTTCAACAGGATAAGTGACCAATTGTGGCTTACTCTAGGACACTGGGCATCTTTCTAAACTGTGAGAGCCTAATTCTGTCTCAGTGAAAGAAAGAGGTGCCAAAAGACTCAAGATGAGTGAATCATCAATTCCCGGCACAAAGACTGAGGGACCCAGAAGTTGTGCTTTTAGGACCCTGCCCTTGTGGGGGAGTATGGGTGCTGGACATCCAAAGTCATCAAGGGGAAAGATGAGTGAAGAAGGATGGGTTCTCAGGGCGTGGGTTCTGGGCTAGAATCTGTCCCCTGCTGGCCAAGTGACCACCTTCAGGGTGTGAGGTGTGGGCGGGGTGTGAGGTGTGGGGTGTCACCACTTCTTCCAGTCCCTTGGTGTGGATTCTCAGGGTTTGACATGGTGGAGAGCAGGGTTTGCTGTGTTTCTATAAAGGGAGGGACTGATGAGCGGTGTCCTGAATGCTTCTCATGTCACGCCCAGACCCGGGTTTCCCAGGAATTAGGAGGTGGGGAAAGGGGAAGGTGGTACCAGCACCAAGCAGGGCTCCGTGCGGGGCTCTGGAACGTGCAGGACAAGATGAGGCTGGGGTGGCAGGACACTGGTTGGAAGGGGACACCCCGCTGAGGCCGTGAGAGTCTGCCCTCCCTATGCAATGCCCACCAGGGAGAGAAAGCCACACAGGGACCAACGCCCCCCCCACCGCCGAATACAAGCAGATGGAGCCCTCTGCGGGGGATGGGCAGGGGCGACCAAGAGCCATCCCAACCCGTCTCCCACAGGGGACTGAGCCAGCCCCGTGAGGAGCCTGGGACGGGGCAGGGGTGGGCAGCGGGAGCCTCCCTGAGGAAGCAGCGAAGGGTGGGATGAAATGGGGTTTCCAGCCCGGAGACTTGACAGAAGATGCCTGACCTAGCGTGAGATGTGACTCAACACTCTGACTTGTGCTGAATGAGGTAGTGCCATCCTGACCTCTCCAGGCAGGGTCCGTCTGCGCGGAGAGGAGCAAGGCCTTATTCCCAAGACCCCAGATGATGGAAAAGGGGCCAAGAGCCAGGATGTGAGCTCCCAGAACGTGACAGGAAAAAAAAAAAATGAAAGAGGGTGGGCTGGACTGCAAAGAATTCTGGGTGTGGGGGGCTGTTGAGCTGAGCAGTGCCTTCCAGCGACAATTCTGATCGTGATACTTGGTTGGAGACAGGGACCTTTCCCCCATGACCATTCAAAGCCCAGGACATAGGGGACCAGCTAGACAGAGGGCCTCGGGGCTTCCAGGGGCACACGCGGGTGACGCGGCTGGCTCTGGGTGGGGAGGTGACCCCTGCGGGGCTCGGCAGAGACCACCAAGCTCCAGCCTCAGTGTGTCCCTGGAGCAGCAAACATAGCACAGGAGTTGGGGGGCTTCCGCCTTGGGGACAAGGGCGGGGCTGTGGATCCGTCTTCTCGGCCTGGACGCACTGGCCGCTCCCAGCGGGGCCTCCCTTCTGGAATCACCCCGGCTCGGCAGACCAGGACCAGGACCAGGACAGTGGGTGGGAGGCAGGTGCACTCAGCAGCGGGCCCCGTGGCGGGCGCGGCCACCTCCTCTCCATGGGACCCCCAGCCCCTCTCCTTGGCAGGACCCCCCGGGGCCGTGCATGCCCATCTAAATCTCCATGTCCACGGGGCGGATGTTGCCTGTCTTGTGCTCTCGGACCCACAGCTCCCTGTCTTTGGCTGGATCCACTTTTCGAAGCAGCTGGTCCACAGGCTCAACTGTCTGCAAGGGCCGGAGAAGGGGTCACAGTCAGAGCCTACGGCCGTGCCGGGCACAACAAAGGCCCCTGCGAGGTGCGGCAGTGCACAGGGGTGTGAGAGCGGAGAACCCCGGGGCTCTCGTCCCCACGCTGTGTCTCGTTCACTGCACTCTGCCACAAGCCCGAGGGGCTGCATGACCCGGCAGGGGGCCCCAGGGCTCCAGGCCCGGGACCACCCCCTCCACCTGTCCCCACCTTAACATCCCCGAACAGGGCCGATGGAAACTTAGCTTCAGGGAATTTGAACGTTTCTGGATTATTTATTTATTTTTTGGCAAGAAATTTGCCAGGGGAAGTGATAAGTTCTCAGCTCTTTTAACTGTCACGACCTTCTCTGTCCTTGGGCTGACAGCTGGCACGTGGGATGACCCACGCAGGTGCCCAGGATGGTCCGTGAACCCATCCCACGGGCCCATGCACCTGCCACCCCCCACCGTCAGGACAGAGGCATTTGGAGGGGCTGCTCAGCCCGCCCCTGCCCGGCGCCCCTCCCCCACCCCTTCCCACAGGGGTCCTGCTGGTCTTGGCCCTGGACAGGCGACTCACACTTTGGTTGAACATGTCCGTCTCGTGCCTCAGCTGTGTGTACTGACACAGGTGCTGCCGGATCATCTCCACCCTCTCCACCTCCAGCCGCTCCAGCTCCTGCCCGGCGTGGGCGGCGGGGGGGGAGAGACGGGACACACCCCTGAGCCCAAGCCCACAGCGTGGGGGACCCTGCCCCCACGCAGGTCCCAGCCTACCCTACCCACACAGCACAAGTCACCGCCTGCTTCAAACGGGTCCCAGGGGACCCTTAGGGGGCTAAAGTCACCCAGCATCCAGGGGGCAGGGGAGAGGTTGGGGGAGGGGAGATGCAGAAGCTGCGGTTTCCCGACTCCTGCTCTGCAGGACGTGGTGGGTGCTAAGAGCTTTGTGTGCATTACTTAACTGTCTTCTGTCATTTTAAGAGAGAGGCTCTTATCTGTGACATCACTTGCCCAAAGCCCGGGGCATTATGGGAGGAGTGGGGTTCAAACCAGGGTCTGGGTTCTGCTGCAGGGCAGCCCCGGCCCCGGTTCCCCATCAGGTTGGACACGAGTCGCATGTAGAGATTCTGTGTCTCGGGCTCTTGGGGCTTTGTCCCTGGGCCTCTGCCTCCTCTCCTCTGTCCAGTTCAAGTGCAGACTAGAGACCAGGCCAGGGGACGTGGGGGTGGGGGAGGCAGGTGGGCGAGGAGTCAGATGGCCATGGTCAAATGGAAGAGAGAGGGTTTGTCCTTCGGTTTCTAGATGGTTCTGCATCTTTGGAATTTAGGGGATCAGGCTGCTATTCTGTGCACAAGTAGGTCACTGCCCAGGTGATTAACTGGGAAGAAGAGTAAAGCGGGGGGCTTAATTAGGAGATTAACCAGGAGGAAGACTAGGTCACGGTCCCTGGGGGAGGCCTCTCATCTGCTCCGGGGGCGGACACCTGGGCACGCAGAGGTTAGTCTGTCCTGTGCCGGATGGACGAGGCTGGCTTTGGGCAGTGGATGATGCAGTTAGGACCTGGCATCAGGCCTCCTTTCTCATCCAACCCGACGGCCCAAGAGCCAAGCACACTTCGTCGTCCAGCCCAACGGGAGCACACTGAGGACGAGATGCTGTCCCTTCATAAGAAATACTTGGGAGGTGCCTGGAGTAGGGGGGGCGCTGCCCAGTCGAAACTCCTGGTTTCGGCTCAGGTCTAGATCTCAGGGTCATGGGATTGAGCCCCAGGTCGGCCTCTGCACTCAGGATGGAGTCTGCTTGAGATCCCCCTACAACTGCCTCTCCCCACCGTGCTCTCTCTCTCTCTCTAAAATAAATACATCTTTAAAAAAATACTCAGGAAGACAAAAAAGGGGGTCTGATGCCTATTCCTTGCACTCCTTGATCAGAGGCCTCCACTCCCATTTCTTCTAAACAGCTATCCCAACCTCACTCCGTATGTGTCCTCTGTCTAGGACGGGCAACCCTGCCGGGGGTGGGTAGGGTCACGCTTTTCCTATAACTTGATTATTTGTCCTAAAGGCTCCACCGTATGCTTGGCTGAAGGCATCCTTGGTCAACTCTGACCCCTCCGGGGATAGCCCAAGAACAGTAGTAAGACCCAACCCCTGCCTGTGTTCGCACAGCTAGAAGTGCCAAAGCAGGATCTGAATCCACAGACTGGCCCAGAGTCAAGGTCTTGACCTCAGTGGTGGAGAGGATCTAATGGACACTTCTGTGGCCACCTCCGCCCCATCCCCCACACGCCCGCCAGCATCCCCCCAGGGCATCCTAAGCACCAGCCCCGCGTGGACAAGTTCTCACATCTCTGCTCACTCACCAACGTGGTGGTCACCATCTCTTCAAACCACTTGGACTGGGCTTGGTTGTAGAGGTCCACGCAGCGCATGAGGTCATCCCCTGGAAAAGACCATTAGCCACCATCACACTCTGTCCTGTCCTCACCATGGCCACCCTGCCCCATCCGTGCCCCATGCCTTCTCCTCTCCCTGGGTTGCGGAGGCCACTGGGAAGCGGAGGAAGGGGGAACAGAGCAAAGGAAAGGGGAAACCCTTGTCATGAGTGTCCATCAGAGCTTGACCCCAGATACCAAGAATCCAGGATGAAGGTTTCTCAGTATGTGTGTGTGTGTGGGGGGGGTGCTCCTAGGAACCCCCCAATCCTACCATGAACCCAAGAAATCCTTCCCTCTCTAAAGATGGCACTTTGACACTGGAGAGTCTTTCTCGGTTAAAACGTGTTATAAGCAACTTAGAAGGAGTCAAGCATTAAAGAAGAGTCTGGAAGTTGCACGTGTGTGCATATGTGTGCTGGAATGTAATTCCAAAACACAAAACAATGTGTCTGACGGTCTGAGGCTCACTCACACACACGGGTACGCTACGTGCCAAGCCCAGGACAGTGGCCACTTTGGGCGACGGGATAGGTGGGAGGGAGTGAGCTCTTCCCACCACATTTAATTTCACAAAAGAGAGATGTGAAACCCACTGAACTCTTCAGTCTTGATGGCTGGTCCGCTATTTTCCAGAAGGCTAGCACACGTGAAACATCTCGTAATTAGGAAGAAAACAAACTGTACAACAGGTGCAAGTGTGACCGCCGCGTGCCAGCCCCAAGAACCTTGGTTTTCTGATTGTCACGGGGTTCCAGAGACGGGGAGGGGAGTCACGGTCTGTGTTCTCAATGGGCAAAACTCGGGAGCCAGCCCCAAGCTAACCGATTCGCTCTAAACCTAGTAATTGCCACGGATTCAAAGTTATACTTCTAAGCACATCCCTTGGGGTTCATGTGTATCCTGAAATGGAAGTGAAAGAAATCAGGGAGACACACGTCCACGTGACCCAGGGCCCAACTCAGCAGCCCCCTCCGACGAACCACCCCGCTCGCTGGGAGATGAGCCTGAGGAACAGAACCCAACCATGGGGTCCTGATCCATCACCAGTGAATGGGTCCCTGACCTCAAGAAGGACTGACTTGGAGAGAAGAGAGTACATACGTCACTGCAAACACATTCCGACCAGGAGCCCATGAGCCCAGGCCTGACCAACGGTGGTGGGGGGCGGTCAGTATGTCCCTCTACAAACCTACAATACTCAAACCCCCACTGCCCTCTTTATTGACCCTGATCTTGAGAACATGCTTTGGAATCGGGTAGCTGTAGGAGACGGTGTCTTCTGTCTACGAAGCCAGCCCGAGGGTACCCTTCAGAACAGAAGGAATTAGGGTCACGGCTTCTGGACCCGGAATATCTGGGCTGTCCTACCAGCTCCACTGTCTGTAGCTGTGCGATCGTGGACAAGTCAGTTAACCTGCCTGTGTGCCTCAGGCTCACCACCTACAAAATGGGAGAGCAACGGTACACCTACGGAGTGATGGGAAGATTAAGAAGTTGTGACATGTCTAGTGTTTGCAACAGACGCTGGCAGAGTAGGCACAAGAGTAACATGAGCTACGGTGACGGCAATGATGACAAAATGCAATCCAGCCCCGCGAGGACCCAGAGGTGCGCCCTTCCAGAGGCTCTGGGAAAGAGGATGGAGGAGAGGAAAGGGAGGGACAGAGGCAGGGAAAAAGAGCGGGCATCTTCCCGGTGATGGACCATCCAGGAACATGGGGACAAGCAGTGTCTTTAGAAGAAGAGATGGTGGGATTCTGGGTCCCAGTGCTCTAGGACTGTCACCATCTGTGAAGGGTACAGAAATACCCCCCGCCCCCCGCAGGAAGACTGGGGGCTTGGACGTGGACGCCCTGAGGCAGAGGGCCTGGCGCCCTGCACACAGATAGGGTTTTGGAAAGGTAGAATTTTTCACAGAGATCCAAGGATGAGGATGGGTCACTTCTGTCACAGAGTAACTCCAAACTGTAGAGCTGAGACACCATGTTACCTGATTAACCCACAATAACCTGATACACAAACAGCAAGACCAGAAACCTCTACTGCTAGGCAGGGTTCTGGCTGGCGGAAACATTAACATTCTTCTGAAATTGGCTGAAACGGACTAGAAAGTGCAAAGAGCGAGATTATGTAGAATGTGAGAGAAATGAAAATAAAAAGCTAATTACCAAGACTACGAGAAGGACAGCAAAATACCTAGGGTACGAGAGAAATGAAAACACACACAAAAAAATCAAAACTTGAGGACCAAGGCCAAAAGCAGTGGTGTGAGTTCAAAGAAACACCTGGCGGCTCAAATATGCATGTGTTTACTTCTTAAACCTGGAGCCAAAGAAAAAAATGCGATCGGAAATATATATATTGAAAAAGTTCTTTCTAAATCACAAAACCCAGAACTTATAATAAGAGGAAAAGACCGGGGGTGCCTGGGTGGCTCAGTGGGTTAAAGCCTCTGCCTTCGGCTCAGGTCATGATCCCAGGGTTCTGGGATTGAGCCCTACGTCCGGCTCTCTGCTCGGCCGGGAGCCTGCTTCCTCTTCTCTCTCTGTCTGCCTCTTTGCCTACTTGTGATCGCTATCTGTCAAATGAATAAATTAAAAAAAAAAAAAGACCGTTCTACCAAAAATTTTGAGAAGAAAACAAGCCGGGTCGGGGAGGGCATGGAGAGAAAAGAAAGGAATATAAAGAAAAAAAAAAAAAAAGATAAATGGCAACCTTGGAAAAATATTTGCAATTCAAACCGCAAGAGGTTAATTTTCCTGACCTATCATTCATTGTTGCCAATCCATCCGTCAGAATAAAAGAAACACGGGAGAGGATGGGAGTTCATCGGTTCGGTTCGCAGAAAAAAGTCACAGATGACACAGAGAAGTCGATTTTCGAAAAGCTCAAATTCACTCAAAAAGGAACGTACATCGCCAACAAAACAGTGGTTCTCACCAGACAGCTCGGATGGCGGAGTCTGGTCTCACGCAGTGCAGACCAGAGCTTAGGGGACGGGCATCCCTTACACGCCCACAGTGGACACACCTCTCCAGAGAGCAGTTTGGAACCAGCCACGTAAACAAACCAAACGCTCTGACCCGGAAACTCACATCCACGCTCTCTACCTCCACGGACTGAGACTCACAGACACGCAGCTACAGTGACAACATCGTTGAACACCCACCGACCATCTCAAAGTCCTAGAAGACTCCATCACCGGAAACATGGAAAAAAAAAATCTGGGGTCTGATCTCAGCGCACGAGAACATCATTCGATCACTGAGAAAGTCTTACGTAAGGGATCAGATGGGTAAATAAACATACAAGTGACAGAACTATCTGGAAGCTACATCGGTAAAAATATAAGTTCGGGACATAGAAGAGAAGCTGATCTAATGAGTCTACATTTAAACATTAAGAAAACATTTTTAAGAATTCAGACATGAGGAAGTGTTGATGGTGATTATCCTCTAATGGATAAGATTTTATATTAAGTGCTGGTTACCATTTTTATTTTTGGCCAAGTGGCGACCTAATTTTATTTTTAAAATAATGAAATAAGTTGAACGAATTGAAATAGGCTCTCCCCGTCCCGGGTTTGCCTTCCCAATCCCCAGTTAAGTATATTACGCCTTCTATTTCTGGATCCGGTTATCACCACCAGGTTAAGATCTTTGTCCATCAAATGTCGAGTCTACACTACACTGTTCTGTGACTATTTCTACACACTGTGTCGTCCCATCCAGACGGCGGCTGCTCCGTCCTGTAATCAGTTTAACTGTGCCAGAGCACCAGAAACTCAGGTGAGAAGGGAGACCATCTGATCCGAACCCTAACGACAGCACGTGCTTTAATCCCAGAAAGCCATAAACAGCATTGTCCTGGCGTGACCTTCAACTTGGACATCCTGAAGAAATACAGACTAAGTCTTTCTTGCTTTTTTTTTTTTTAACTGGTTCTAACAGGCCGTCCTCCCCCTCCTTGTGCATCGGCTAGTTTTTGCCACAAGGTGGAAACAGAAACCAACTCACTGGAGGGAAATCTTTGCAGGAGACTCTGAAATCCAGTTCATTTGTGGGACAAAATGTCGGACTCTGTGGCGGGGGCAGGGGTCCCCCTGATCACCACAGGGCAGCCCTGGAGCCTCACTCGCTGGGGACATGGCACCGCTGGGTGGACGGGAGGCCTGAGTTCTGGGCACGGGGAGGAGTTTCTCCACCTCCTGACCCGAGCTCCACATAAGTAGGGCCTGGACACAGCGCCACAGCCCCCAACCCCAGCCTGGTCCTGGGACGCACCTTGCGGGCACCCCACCTGCCAGCCCCCACTTCCTGCGCCTCCGAGGCCCTGGGGGAGGGGGGGAGGGGCGGGGCGCCCACGGCCACACTCACCAGCCTGCGTGGACTTCCTCCGTGCCTTCTTGATGTCCTCCTCCGTCTTGTTGCTCAGCTTGATCTCCAGCTGCTGGGTCTTCATCTCCAGGTCTCTCTGCCGCTCCGTGAGGGCCTTCCGGGCCTGGGGTCCGATGACACAGGGAAGCTGCTCACGGGGCTCTGAGCCGGGACGGCCCCGCAGGTTCTGTGGCCCGGCCTCCCCTTTGCTGGGGAAGGGTCCTCTCTTCTCCCCGTGTTCGTGGACATTTTCCCCAGCAGTGCTGAGCAGATGATGGCACCTGCCACCCCATTCTGGGGCCAGAGGGGCCCTTCTATGGCTGCAGCGGGCAGGGGCTGGACACGCCCCCGTCCCACACCCCACCCTGAAGCTGGAGGCTAGCGTACCCCCCCATCCCCACCCCCAACCCACCACCCAGGGACAAAGGCCTCTGCCAACAGGCTGGGCCCCCCCAGGCCCCCACCTTCTCCACTGCGGCATAGCGGCTGGCCAGCTGCTTGCGGAGGTCGGCGATGTGGTGGTCACACTTCTTCATGTCCTTCTTGAAATTCTCTCGGAAGTTCATCAGGGGTTTCTCCACCTCGCTGTGCAGCTGTTGAGGACAGTGGGGGGTGGGGGGGACATGCTTAGGACCCCAGGGCATCAGCGGTGCAGGAGGGAAGATGCAAGGAGCCACGCATCAGGTCTTGGGTTGGGCGGTCGCCTTAGCTGGCTAGACCCCAGGATTCACACCAACAGACCGATGGCTTAGTGTCCAAGCCTTTCCGAGCCCTTTGCTGGTGGCCTCCTGCCCCTCCGGGCACCCACGGCTTCTCACGGGACTTTGCTCAGGTCCTGAGCCGATGCTGCTGACTTTCCAAACTGGGATTTTTCTGGGGGCAGAAGCCAAGCCACCATCTCCTCATCCCCAAGCACGGAGCACAGTGACTGCCACGTGCGGGCCATTTAATGAGATGAGCTTGGGTCAGTTCTGTTTGCTCAATGTCTGCTATGAGCCAGGTGCCTGAGGCGACAAGGATGGTCTGGACACGGCTCAGAGCTCGAGGAAGCCTTGGTTGGAACCCCGCACAAGGCGGGGAGGAACTCACTTCTCCAGCCCACATGGAGACAGGTGTACCTTCCCTCCGGGCGGAGGGAGCCGGCCTCCTACTCCTGAGAGCCAGAGAGAGGCTGGGTTCTCAAGCACTTTCTCTTCTCCCTATTCCACTCCCTTCGTAAGGAGAGCTTTTCCAGATCAGTGTGGACCTGCTGTGGTCAGAGCCGGGGGAGCAGCCCAGAGCCCAGGCAACAGACTCTCAGACTCAGCCTCCCAGAACCCCCCAACTAAGCCCCCAACTCAGCTCCCGGAGCCCCCAACTCAGCATCCCAGAGCCCTCTGGCTCAGATTTCCAGAGTACCTCGGCTCAGATTCCTAGAGTGCCTTGGCTCAGCCTCCCGGAGGCCCCCGACTTGGCCTCCTACGGCCCTCTTCCAGTTTTCCAGGGTCCCTCACCCTGCACCTGTCCCTGAAGCACCTCTGGGAGGCTCAGCTGAGCTTCCCTGAACACAGGACCTCCCAACACGGGTTCTACTGCTTCTCTCTCTTCCTCCTCACCAGACTCGTGCCACACTCCCTTTTTCTCCAGAGCCCCCAGGACTTCCGTGTTTGTAGCCCTAAACCACCAAATACACTTCACTGTGAGTTCCGAGAGGGCAGAGACCTGCGGGCTTTGTCCCGCTGTGTCCACAGCATCTGGTCGGAGCTGGCGCGGGGCGGGTGCCCCTTTCCTACCTGCGAGAATGACACAACCTTCAGTGCCCGATGCCTGGGAGAGAAGTGGACGCCTTTGTTGATGACCTTCAAAGGCTAAAAAGAGCACAAGCCAACCAAACACCGCGCCCCCCATGTAAATGCCTCATTTTTCTGAGCCCCCAGAAGTGGCCTTGCCTAGGAAGATAGCCCCACCTGCTGGCAGCCTGCGGGACATTACACACTTGGGAGCTGCCCAGCACTCTCAGGTCACTTTCCCATATAGATCAGGTATTGGCGGAGAAGTGGCCTCACTTAGTTGCCGTAGACACCTGCTCCTGATTTTTTTTGGGGGGGGCGACTGATGAGGCTGAACTCAGCCTGTTGATTTGGTAACTCGGGGGTCGCTTTCCAAGGGCCTAGGAAGTGAATTGATTTCCAGAATTCCATGTGCCCAAGAGCTACCCAGAGGGTCAACATTCAGGATTCCTGGGTCCCAGCCCCAGGTCCTGCGGTCTGGGGAAGGGCCCCAGAACCTGCCAATACACCAAAATGTGTCCCCCAGATTCCAAACTGACTTCCTGGAAACGTAATGCCACTTGTGGTCACAGGCATGCGATCCCATAGACAGAAACCCACGGATTCTCCTATATTTTTAAGTGTGCTTTCAAAACACTAATTGTTTCTTTAAGAACGCTGGCTGGGGGTCCGTCCCTACTTGTTCTTTATGTCTGAGCACCTTAGTCTGCCCAGGGCCAGAAGGCCTTCCCGGACGCTTGCCCTCATGACCTCCTGAGCTGGCCTGAGAGTTGTGAAATCAGCTTAGTGGGGAGTATAGGGTCAGGGCTGGCTTTTGGATTAGAAAGAGAGAGCACCGGAGTGCATTTTAGGCAGAAGGACAAGGGCGGCTTTGGGAAGCGTCTGTCTTGGCGATGCACGTGTGTGCGTATCTGTATGTGGCTATCTGGGCATGGGCGCCTGCATCTTGTGGCTGCCTGTGGGAAATGTGTGACTGGGGGTCCCAGTCAAATAACCTTCAAGCCACTGATCTGGTCCAAACTCTTCATTTCACACATGAAAAAGAAAAAAAAAAACAAAAACAAAAGGAAGCCGAGAGACGCTAAGACTCGCCCCAGGTCCCAAAGCTTGTTAGGGAAAGCCCCAACATAGAACCCAACGTCTCTTGACTCCCACTGCCCCCCTAAAATGTCCCGTCTGCACGCATGGTCTCTCCTGCCGGATTAGACTTCTCTTCCATCAGAAAGAATTTTACCATTTTCCCTTCCTCAGCTGAAGCCAGGTATCACTTCCTTTGTATATGGCAATCTTGTTTTGTTAAGAGCTTTGTTGCCAGGAGCGGTGGCTGGAACTGGGAGACAAGCACGGCCTGAAAGACTGGCCCTGACAAAATTGCGTTTCTTAAAAGAGCACTCATCCCGCACCCTCCGCCCCTACCCCGACAAGGAACATTCGGAGCGGAATTTCAACGAGCCCTCTGGAAGCAGATGCTAAAATGGGTTTCGGGCATATTGGAGCCCTACGATCCACGGCAGAGGGATAAACCCTCGGAGCCCCTTTGCCTTCAAGGAACCACTGTCCTCCCACGGGGCTGCTATCTGGTTCCTTAAGGCCACCAACACTGACGGACAGGCTGGGGGCAGCAGACGTCTCATCGGACATCTGGTTTCCGTGAACACTGGTCCCAAGTCCCCCTCCCCACCCCCCATCGGCAGCATGTTGAAGTCCCCTGTGCCTTAAATGCCACCAGTCTGCCCAGAGAGAAGGCCCGGGGAGGGGGGCAAGTGGCTGATTGACTAAGTCTTGCCCTTTGCTTCCCCCGGAGCAGAGCTGGAGGCTGTGTGACCATGAGCCTCAGTGGAGCCTTGATTTGCACCCCCTCATTTGTGATATGCAGATGCTGACTGGCAAGATGGTGGATAAAACCAAGGCCAAGGAGTGATTCCCTGCACAGAACCCTCTAGAACGCTTACCCACTGGGATACTCTAATACAACAAACGTGTATTTTGGCCTTTGTCCCCGGCTCCCAGACAGAACTCCTGAAAGCGCTGTAACTCTCCTGAGCGGTTCGGGGTGAGGGGCATCTTTTGAGCTAGTATCTGGTCTCTGAGACAAAACTCCTAAATCCCTTGGCTTTTCCTGGATGAGAGAAGCATCATTCGTTCTAATGAAGTGACCTTGGTGGTCTCCCAGAGAGCTTCAGAATGGGGGTTGGGTCACCGGAAAGCCCAAGCCACGATTAGAAGCTTCAAACTTCCCACCCCTCCTCCAACCCCTGGGGAGGGAAGGGGACCCGGAGGTGGAGTTAATAAGCGATTATCCCCACGGGATAAAAATTCTACAAAAATCTATAAACCATCAGGTTTGGAGAGCTTTGAGGTTGGTGAGTTGGTCAAGTCCATGGGGACAGAAGCTCCTAAGATCAGGGCTCTTCCGGACCTCGCCCTGTGTACCCCGTCACCTGGCTGTTCATCCGTATCCTTCATGATGTCCTTTAATACAGAATAAACCGGTAACCTAAGTACAGGTCTCCTTGAGTTCCGGGGGCCATTCGGCAAATTATCAAACGTGCAGAAGGTGTTGTGGGAGGCCCTGATGCACAGCTACATCAGACACAAGTGTGGGTCACCTCAGAATCCACTACTCGCAACAGACACCCTGTGGGACAGAGCCGCTCCCCACTGGGATCTGAGCTGGAGAGCATTCTGTCACCTGCTGAGCACCCTGGAAACAATCAAGACCGGAGGGTCCTGCTGATGAACACCGGGTGTGCCAGGGTTCCTGGGGACCCAGCAGGTAACCTTGCCGAGGCTGTATTCAGCTCTCCTGCACACAGGCAGCCTCCCCGAGCCATCTCCCCCAGCAGCGGAGACCCCCTGGGGGTCGGGACGCGAGAAGGGAGGCCTGAAGGGAACACTTCCCCATCGGCAGCTTGAAAATAACTACTTTGTGCAAGGCAGGAAAAAAGACCTCGTTTGACTGGTAAAAATTTCCCACCAAGGGCTTCGTGGCCGGGTTAGAGTGCCACTGTGAGCCCAGAAAGTCTCACTCATGGCTGAGTCATGGGTCAACCCAATCTCGGGGAGCTAACATCCTTCCGAAGCGGGGGGCTTCTAACAGCAATGTTTTCTCCTCATCCCCCAGATCTTTATAAAGCCCCTTCATGGGTCCCAATCATGTGAGCCCTTCATTGTGCCCTCTCTGTGCAAGGGGACCATCCCCGGGTGGGGTGGTAAGATGTGTACAAAGCCGGAGTCCTGTCCTCCAACAGCGCACTTCCCATGGGGACCTCAAAACTCAGAATGGTGATTCTTATGAGGAAAGCTGTGGAGAACAGATGGAACCATGAATGCAGAGTGTGGGAGTCAGGGAGGAGCAGCCAGCTGCTTTTGGGAGATGCTACCTTCCTACGGTAGTAAAGGAGGCAGTGTGCCCTTCAATTTTAAAACGGGGGCTCAGAGTTTAAGTGCTTTGCCCGAGCACCTTGTCGGGTTGCTGTGTCTGGCTGGGGGCAGTGGAAAGAGCGTGAACCCCAGGAAGCAAAGGTCCCCGAGAATGGTGCTACCCTAAGGTGCTACTCTCTCTTCCTTTAAAAGGTGACCATGCTCGTGGTCACCCCATCAGTCATTCACACTTTAGTATGAATTATTTCCTTTAGACACTGGGTTTATTTTTTCCCCTGAAGAGTAGATGAGAGCCTGAGACGGAATTTGGTGATTCAGAGTGAACAGGACAGAAACCCCACTGTCCTCAAGGTCTGGGGCACAGTCTAGTCTCTCCTGACAGCATGAAGAAACAGAACATGCCCAGCAAAGGAGAGTGAGGGTCCCCTGAGGGACTGAGGGGTACCCACCCTCACCTCACAGAGCTGAACGCTAAACTTGGAGGAATTTTCTGAGCTGGTTGCTAAAGATGGCCATCATTAAAAATGCAATGATCTGCACTTAGCAAATTATATTAAAAACAAAGGTAATAAGTACTTATAACTACTAACCCTTATCAACCTTTTATGACTCTCCGAGATGCTGATGGACATTTATGCCTCCTGATGCTACCGTCTGGGGACAGTGGGTACCCTGGCTGATGGTTGCTTTTGTGCCTCTGGTTCCTCGCACCAGAAATCCACACCATGGACCACAGAAAGGGGCCGGCGGGACACACTGGAGAGACCACAGCGAGCCCCTCAGCAGTACATGGCTGCACAGAACCAACCCAGAGAGGCCGCGGGGCCACCTTACCTTGGCGGAGAACTTGAGATGGACTTCCGCCTCATCCGCGAGGCTCTTCTTCACCTGGGCCCACGCTTCTCCCAGGGACCTACAACACAAGGGAGAACATCAGACCCGGATCAGAGATCTCAGCACCCCCCACCGGGGGCGTGGATAGCTGATCTCCGTGTGAGCCAGCCCAAACCAAGCTGAGGGGCAGGTGCTAGCAGAGGCTGGGGAAACATCTGGAAACTCAGAGAAGCCGGGGAGAGGCAAGAGGAAGATGGGGTACAGCTGCACGTGGGGGGCCTGGACACCTGCGTGTTACTGTCACTGTGTCTTCCAGGGGCCCACCCCTGGCTCCCAGATGGACGGTACAAATGCTTATTGGTCTATCCAGGAAGAAGGCCAGCCGCCTTTTCAGGGAGAAGCCGTCTGCAAACAGAAGGGGCCACGCAGGGGTGCCTGGGGGCTCAGTTGTTTAAGTGTCTGGTTTTGGCTCAGATTGTGATCCTGGGGTCCTGGGGTCCTGGGGTCCTGGGATGGAGTCCTGTGCCAGGCTCTCTGCTCAGATAGGAGCCTGCATCTCCCTCTCCCTCTGCCATTCCCCTCCCGGCCCCCGCCTGTGCTCTCTGGCTCTGTCAAATAAATAAATAAAATCTTAAAAAAAAAAAAAAAAAAGGTGCCGCAACAGCGCTGCCTGCAGATAAGCCTCCAGTGGCCAGACTTCCAAGGGGGAGCGGAGACAGACCCCCAGGCCGCCTCTCACAGACACCCACACAGCAGGAAAGGCCGTCCATCCTCCTCCACAGAGGCGGGTCTCCTGCCAGTCCTGGATCTGGGCTGGGAGCTCTGGTGCTGCCCACACCTTCCTGGAGGAGGACAGAGTCCTGAAAGCTAATCACTTTCTACTCCAAGGAGACGTCTCAGACAGAAGCGATCTCCCGAAATCCCCAAGGCTTTCACAAGCGGCCCTGGTGCCCTTCACGACTTGGAACCCTTGAGCCTCGATTTGCTTCCAGCAATACCCATGGGTCCTGGCTCCCGACCTCTTCCCCCAGCCAGTAAACCCAGGCTGACCCTGCAGGTGCCTCCATTTCATCAAAAAGCCACTTGCCCCCCGAGAATCCATAAAACGTGAGTGGGATGGCAAAGCTGATGTAAAAAGGCAGCATGGGCCTCCAGCGGGGCCACCAGCAGCTGAGAACTGCCCAACAGAACAAAACAAGTCTCTGTGGCCACTGTCCCAGCCTGTCTGGTTGTGGTGCTGGCTCATGGGAAAGGAAAGGACTGAGCAATTCTTTCTAGGAGTCTGGCAGCAGAGAAAGGTCCCCTGGGGTGGTCCTGGCTGGGGATCCCTGGGGAGCTCATTGGAGAGTGGGAGTGAGGAATGGGGTGCTCCAAGCTGGTTTGCAAGGGCCTGAGCTTCTGGAAGCTGGGCGGCTTGGCCCCTCCCCCGATTTGGCAGATGGGTGGGTGGGGAAGGAGGGGGAAGGAGGGGTAAGGAAAGGAAAGTGGGGGGGAAGGAACAGTCGTGGGGGTCATGCCAATACCAGGTCCAGAGACAGACACCCAGATACAGGCAAGTTACGTGTAACAAAGGGGCCAAGCAGCTCTGTGAGGGACGGAGGATGGTCTCAGCAAATGGGCAGAGACAACTGTATATCCACAGGGCAAAAAAGAGAACTCTCGACCCTCACCCGATGCCCTACATGTGGATTATGTCAAGATGGATCACAGACCTAGAGCGAGAGCTGGGCGCCATGCAAAAGCAGGACTGGGAGGAATGGGAACTCAAAAGAAGGCAGACAGAGAGGGTCTGTCCCTGCAGCCCACGAGCCTACAAGGGAGAGCTCAGAAGCCAGAAGGGCCCTGGGTGGTCCAGAGTCTGAGCCTACTGTCAGCAGGGAACGAGTTCCATAAAATCCTGCCCCAGGATTGCCTTAGGAGCCTTAGAATGTCACCTGGGCGAGGCTGTGGGGAAGGGGGAAGCCCAGTGTCAGGCTCTGGTCAAGGTCCTGGCCCCGCCCCCAGGCTGGGCATTCATAGGTGGGCGGACACTGCTGCAAACGCCCAGAACTCCGCCGTCCACCCGCCCCCCCCCCCCAATGCCAGAATTCCAGGCCTCCCGGAATCCGAAGAAAAAAAAAAAAAAGCAATTTAGAGATTCTCTCACTTGAAGACAGATTTTTTTCATCTGGTGAGAGGTTAATGAAAGAAATAAAACCTGACATATATTTCCATCGCAATGTAGTCTGAGGCACGCGCAATGGAAACGCACACCACTGTCACCATTACCAACGAGAAAAGACCCAAATCCCATTCCCTTCCCACACAGGCGAGAAAGACGGGAGACGGAATAAACAACCAGCGCACAGACCCTGCGGAATCGGACCTGGGCGCAGCGCCCGATGCCCGCCCCTCCCCCACCAGCATCTTCCTGGACTGCCCCATGGTTCTAGGCTCCGGCACCCCGCTCATGTCCAAAGCTGTGTGTCAGTGCCAAACAGCACCGCTGCACATTGTGGGGGGGGACCCCATGTGTTCACCCCTCATACACACACTCCGCTGGGAGGCGTGTGTGTGTGCAGCCGCGATGGCAGAGGATGCGTTCATGACCATGTTGCAGGGGCACGGCGTGCATACAGGCGAGCAGGCGTGTGCTGCGCGGCCCGTGTCTGTAAGGGCATGTGTGTGCGCGGCGTGGCGGCACAGGCCTGGCGCGTGCAGCGGGGAGCATATGCTCAGCCCGCTGGCAGGTTGCAGTGTCCTTGGCAACGGCCCAGGCCGAGGAGGTGGAAGCCGGAAGCCTGGAGAGCAGCACTGCATTTGCAGGGCAGGGGATATCTAAGAAAGCCTCCATGCCAGGGTGGAGGGGGGACACCCCCTGTGACCCCCCCTAGTGCCCCCACCCTCGCTTCCTACCCCCATCTCAGGGCCCAGTGGGCGGGGTGGAAGGGGACCACCGGGGGTGGGCTCATTTCTGCAGAGGAGCCCCTTGGGCCTGCAGGGGCCGCCCCGTGGCCCCCTGGGTCGGTGGCAAACCACATGGAGGCAGCCTCTCAGCTGCACAGCGAGCCCACGCAGAGAGGCCGGAATGAAAGCCACATGGGGCTGGCACAGCCAGTCCCCTGAAGGCTTCAAGGCGTGCGAGCAGCCCTCTGATGACCACAGCCACCCAGGACAGGACGACCTCCGTCCTCGGGGCTCACTTCCCCTTGCAGGAGGGGTTCCAGCACAGCCTGCCCCAGAGTGAGGTAGGCACTGGGGAGAAGACCTGGCGGGGCCTTTCAGCTCTCCCCTCCCGAGTCCGGTTGCCTTTATGATGGAGGCAAAAATCCACCTTAGGTGAAACTAATTGTTTTAAAGAGGGCGATCCAAGGGCACTAGGTATACTCACTATACTGTGCAACTCTCACCTCTACCCTGGTCCAAAACATTTGTTTTCCCGTTATGGAGCCCCCCAAATCCATATGCTGAAGACCCACACCCCAAATTCATGTTTGTGTCCCCCCCAAAGTCACATGTTGAAGCCCTAAGCCCCATACCCCAGTGTAGCCCCCAAATTCTTATGTTGAAGCCCTCAAGCCCCCACCCCAAATTCCACGTTTGTGTCCTCCCCAAAGCCACATGTTGAAGCCCTAAGCCCCCACCCCAAATTCATGTTTGTGTCCCCCCCAAACCCATATGTTGAAGCCCTAAGCCCTATACTCCAGTGTGGCTCCTCAAATTCGTATATTGAAGCCCTAAGCCCCCATCCCAAATTCAAATGGTGGTGTCCCTGCCAAAGCCATCCAGTGTGGCTGTTACTTGGAGACGGGGCCTCTAAGGAAGTAATTAAGGTCAAATGTGGTCAAAGGGGAGGGGCCTCTGATTCAATAGGATTCCTGTCCTTACAAGAAGAGACTCCAGGGAGCCTGTTCTCTCTCCACAGGGAGGGAAAGCCATAGGGAGAAGGCGGCCACCTGCAACTCAAGAGGAGGGCTCATGCCAAACCCCAACCCTGCTGGCACCGTGATCTTGGACCTCCCAGCCTCCAGAACCAGGATAAATTACATTTGTGTCATGGAAGCCACCCGATCTGTAGGATTCTGTTACAAGAGCCCAAGCAGATGAATATGCACCCCCGAAAGGAAACCCCAAACCCATGAAGCTGTTACCCTCCATTCCCTGCTCCCTAGGCAACCACCCACCTCATTCTACCTCCATGGGTTTGCCTATCTGCACATTTCATATAAATGGAATCCCATCACATGCACTCTTTTCATCCCACGTCTTTCACTTAGGATGTTTCTAAGCTTCATCCACACGGTAGCCTGGGTCAGGGCTGTTTCCCTTCTTACGGTGAAATAATACTGCATCACATATCCAGTGTGCATGGACACCATTTGTTCATCGGTCCGTCCCTTAATGGACCTCTGGATTGTTTGCACGTTTCGGCAATCGTGGATCGTGCTGTTATGAACACATGGGTACATGTATTTTGTCTGAGTATCTGTTTTCAATTCTTCTGGGTCTGAACCTACGAGCAGAATTGCTGGGTCGTATGGTAATCCTGGTTCGTGTTCCTAGGCACTGCCAAAGTGTTTTCCATGGTGGAAAACACCATTTTACATTCCCAGGGCAGGCTGCAAGTCTTTGTCAAGAAATGAGCAGAGAAGCCTTAAGTCTTCCACCGCTAGGGACCCCTCTGTGGTTGGCAGGGTGGGACTGAGCCCCCCCCCAGCCCAGGCCTGACCCAAGGAAGTCTGGACCACTGTAGCTGGAGAGGGAGGAGAGCCTGGGCTTCGGGCTCACAGGAGAGAATTCTAAATGAGGGCCTGGGTCCAGAATCCTCTCTCACCCGGTGTCTCACCAGCCTGCCCTCAGAGAGAGGGGTGCTGGGGTGAGTGTCTGGGGGGATAGCATCCAGCTAACAGGGCAGAAGGGGTGGGAGGCCCTTGTCCACTAGAGAGAAGTTAATGCGGAATTTGCCCCCTCGGAGCCAGGTCTGGGCAAACTTCCCCATTTCAGTGGGACCACGCAGGGATCAGGGATTGATAAGGAAGAATTCCCCCCTTCCTGTTGGTGGTTTCTCTCCATTCCCATCACCGTCCTCCCCACTCACCCTTCCTCCTGCGCAGCCAAGGAGTTCTGAGAGAGCTTAGCTAGGTTTTTCGCATATTCCTCTTCGATCTTTATCCTGCAAAGTGAGAAAACCCAACAGGTCAGCTCTCCAGTGCCAGGCTGGGCAACCACCCACCTCATTCTGGCTCCGTGGGTCTGACCTGCAGTCCTAGCGCTTACTGACTGCAGATAGAAACCCACTAGACCACAGGCTCTGAGAGTTCAAGGCCCTTGTCTAACCACGCAATACACAGCAGGTGCTTAAAAAAATCTTCACTGGCTGGACGAACTTGTGCAAATCTCTATCTCACCTATAAAGAAAGATGTTTCCATCTATCTCCTGGGCCACGAAGAAGTGCTCCCGTTCACACAGCTCCTAGCCCAGGGCTGCACACAGGAGGCCCTCAGATCAATGATGTAACTCATGATGGACCAAGAGGGACCCCAGGGCTGTCTCCCTCCAGGCCCCAGAACCTGGGACCTAGGACCTCCTAAGTGGTGGCAGCCCCTGGGAAGCAGGAGCACCACCTCCCCACTGCGGCCTCCCAGCCCCCCTCCTCCCCGCCCCCCGTGCCTCCAGCTGTCAAGCCTGCAAGGGCACAAGTATTTCCATGGAAACCAGGCAGTGCCCAGAGCTGGGGCTGATCCCATTTCCCTAGAGAGGGAAGTCGCCTTGGATTTCACTTCCAACAGGGGGGCCCTTGACACACTTTCCAGGCAACTCTCTCGGGAGCGTTCTGTCTTATCTGGCCCGTGGTGTTCGAGTGTTGTCAAAGGCAATGCTCACCGCCTGACTGCTCCTCTGGGTTGCACTGGGACACCCAGGGCCACCCCTCCGAAGCCCCGAGCCCCATCACTCAGCAAACGGGGAAGCCCCAGAGCCACTCCGAGGGCTGCAGCACCTGCTCCTGGCTGGCGGCTTCGGAAGTTAAAGGCCCACGGGTGCGGTGATGTGGAACGGGGGTCCTCACCCAGCCCCCTGCCATCATTCTGAATAAGATTTTCTGCCTTGCCCCGAGAGACCCACAGCCACATTCCCTCTCTCACGGCTCTGCCCTCCCCACCACCTCCGGCCGGGCTCTGGGGCCCGCTGGAGTCTCTCTCCTGCTCTGTCACTCCCTTGCCATCACTCTGCCCTCCCCGGGGTGACGCCGGTGGCCAGCATGCAAGCTCCACCCCGTGGCCAACACATCTCTCTCCTAGTTTCACATCTCCAAACCACCTCGATGCCAACCACACCGGCCAGGCACGCCTTCCCCTCCAAGCCCTGCCCAGCTGTCCTATGCCAGGGCCTCGGCAAGTCCCCAAGCCCAGCACACTCCACCTCCACTCTCGCCTCTCCTGGCTCAGGAAGGCCTCCCAAGAAAAGTCTGCATTGTTCACGGAAGGCCAGCATGTTCTGTAATGGCAGGTTCCATTTATTTGCTCACAGGACATGTCAGGGCGTGTGTGTTCACACTCCACTCCATTCCCTGCCAGCGTAACGGCTCATAAAAGAGAGATTTGATGATACAAACAGAAAACAGGCCTCCTAAGGAAAAGAGGTGCTTTAAAATGCCAAAGAGGGGCGCCTGGGTGGCTCAGTGGGTTAAAGCCTCTGCCTTCGGCTCAGGTCATGGTCTCAGAGTCCTGGGATCAAGCCTCACATCGGGCTCTCTGCTCAGCAGGGAGCCTGCTTCCTCCTCTCTCTCTGCCTGCCTCTCTGCCTACTTGCAATCTCTGTCAAATAAATAAAATCTTAAAAAAAAAGAAAAAACTTTAAAATGCCAAAGAGTTATTATTACATTAGTGTTATCATTAAAAAGCTTTCTTAAATACGTTGCCATTTGCTGTAAGTATGTCCAGCGTGCCCTGGAAACTCCGGGTGGCAAGTCGTGTGTATGTGCGTGTGCACACGCGGGGTGTGTGTGTGCACGTGTGTGCTGGTAAGTGTGTACTTTATAGGATCTCAGACCTTGGAGGGACTAACAGGCAGGAAGGTGGAGAAGGAATTTTTTCTCCTTATACTTTTTCCTGTTTCTATCAGGCTGGATTGGTTTCCTCTTTTACATTCGGACAAACCATCCTTCAGCAAAACCATTATTGTAACCCCTGCGCTGGTCCCAATGACCTCACCTGACGCTTCCATCTCACAGGAGCTCCCTGGATGCAGGGATGGGGGAGTGGGTTCTAGATGCCCAGGTCTGGGACACAGTTTGGGTTCAAAGATGAATTACAAGACAACATTCTCCTTTTTTGTTATGACAGGGACAGGGCTTCCAATGAGGGCCACACAGGAAAGTCAAGGAGCTAAGCAGCCTGTGTGGGGAGACAGTAGGGAGTGATGGAGACTGCAGCAAACCAGACCTCAGGCTCCCGCTCTGGGGCGTGGCCGTCTGGCTCTGGCCCACTGTTGTGTGAGCCGTTCTTGCCAGACTTTCGGCCTTCTCAAGACAAGCCAGCTGGCCAGCTTGTAAGGTAAGATCTACCCATTAAAAAACAAAAAATGTTGGTCCAAACCTTAAACCTATCGGAGGTCTTAGCAACACATCTGCAGGTTAATTCTGTCCCAAGAGTCACAGCTGGTGCCCTGGGTCTCAGGTTCCCCATGGCACGAGGCAGGCCCAGTGCTGGGCGGCCAGTGCTCATCCCAGCCGCTCCCCGACCTCAGGCTCAGCTGCTCCCCGACCTCAGGCTCAGAGGGGCCAAGGGGCGCTGTCTGTGGCCATGGGAGCTGGGGTGGGGGGCGTGGGCCTCACCTCTCCCGGATGAATTCTGACATTTCCTTCTGCATCTGCTTGCCCTTCAGTTGCTTCTGAAGCAGGAGCTCAAACCCAGCCACGGTGCCATTGCCCTGGGGGTCCTTCTTATCAGCCTAGAAGGGACACAGAAGCACGAGACATTAGGTGACAGGGGTGTCCAGAGCGGCAGGGAATGGAGCATGGGGAAGGCCGTCCCCAAAGGGACCCGGGTGCCCCTGGAGACGGGACCTCAGCCCAAGAGGGAGGCTGTGCCCACTGTCCCACTTTGTGTCTCTCCTGCTGCCCCTTCCCCACACCCATGACCTTCAATTCTCCCAACCTGGGAAAGAAGAGGAAGAAGGGGGAGTGGCCAGGAACAGCAGCTCCCATTGGCCAACACCTACTGCTTCCCTCCAGGTAGCTGCTGAGGCTGGCAGGAAGCTCCAGGGAGTCTTGGTGGCCTGACACTCAGCTGGGACAGTCTGTGGCCTGAGGGTCAAGTGACCCTCACCGTAAGCCCTCTGGTCTCCTGTCAGCCCCCTGTACTGGCCAGGCAGTGGCACTCTCTCACATTCATACCAGATCACAGGGGCTTCCGGGAGAGACCCAACTGAAGGGAGGCCGGAGCTCTGGAAAAGGGCAGGGTGCCAGGGTTGACATCTGAGCTGGGAAGCCTCAGGCGAGCTCTCCCCTCTGTCCAAGCCTGAGTGGCTTCATCCGGGAAGCTGGGGAATACTGGTGCCCGCCTCCGGAGGTCATTTCGGGATAAGTGACCTCTGGAAACGGCTTGGCACAGTGTTCGCCGGACACTAAACGCTCGGTAAGTGCTATCTAATATTCGTCCACTTTTAAGTAAGTTGGGATTCGGGGAAGATGGCCAAGTCAATGACATGAGAGCTCAGTACTGGGTCCATTTTGCAAGCAAATACTCTCAAAATTTCAAAACTAAATGTTTTCTTTTGTTTTGCTTGCACTTTCCTCAAGGACACCTGAATACTTCTTTCTTGCCTGCCCCTCCCCCCAACCTCCTGCCTCCTGCCCAGAAGCCCCTAGGTTCACCCTTCCCTGCAGGACATTCATCTCGGCTCTGAGACTTCTCGGGTACCCCACCTAAAGCCGTGGTCTGCCCCATTACAGCCCTTCCCCATCAGGAATGCAGAGTCAGATGTTTTGGTACTTAATAGAAGGGGTTAAAAAGGCATCTTCTGATATCAGCAGGTGCATCAGTGAGGACACTGTCCCAGGGTCCAAAAGACCTAGTCCTTGTCTCGGCTCAGCCTCCGGGTGACCCAGTCAGGCCTTCCCAATCCTAGGTTGTATCCCCCACCCACCCTCCCCCCTTTGCAATAGGACTGAGTTGCATCTCTAAGACCCCTTCCAGAGCAGTTTTAGGAAAAGGGAATTCTGGAAAGGGGTGGGTGATGCGTGGAGAGAAATCTACTTCCTATCATCAAACATTTAAAAAGTTTATGGACATCCTCCCACCAACCCCCTCCCCCCACCCCAACGTGGGATCCCCTTTCCTCAGCTGTCCTGACACAAAACCCGCTGGGCCATACTGCTAATACCTCCTGAGACAGGGAGATCACTATCCCACAGGACACACCAAGTCATGGGGCAGCTACTCCGGATAATTAAAAGCTTCTCCAAGTACTTTTAAGCTTAGTACATTTCATTGTTCCCAGGGCTACCCAACAGCTCCACATGAAACCCCATGCATGCTGATCTCCAGCTCTTGTAGTGGGCACTCCCAGGGCTCCAGCTAGTCTCCCCTGAATGCCCCCCTTCCTGCGCCCCTCGTTAGGGATGACGTCTCTAAACTCAGCCACTTCTCTGTAGCTGCCACCATCCCTCCCTGAGTCCCGCACCTGCGGCTGACGTCCACCAAGCCCCCTCGCAGCCCTTCCTGCACGCTGCTTCTAAACCACATCACATCTTATTCCAACAGCTTCCGACTGCAAACAGAAGGAAACCCAGCATGCTCCCGGGACCTACAGAGTCTTGTACACTCTGACCTCCGCGGCCCCACAGAGCCCTCCTCAGTGTTTGCAGCCCCTGTCCGCACAGATCGCCCTGAGATCTGGAAGAAACACGGTAGGGGGCCAACGGGAATTGCCAGGCATCTCTGAGAGCCCAAGTGACTTGTCAACGGAACACAGCACTTCCTGTCCGGTGCTTGGCTGGCAAATCTAAAAACGGGAAAGCAATCCGTCCCGCACGGTGGGGAAACAGCTTTTATTTTGTTTATTTATTGTTCCTCGGGGTCCCTGCAAAAGTTGTGTTTTCGGGCTTTTTTTCCTCCTAAAGTGTACAATTTGCTGGCTTTTAATATGTTCACAAGGCTGAGCAACCGTCAGCACTATGTGAATCCAGAAAGAGGCAATCGCACTTTGAAAGTCATTGCAGACTTAAAATGTGCACGCCGAGGGCTATTCCTCGAGTTTCTGAGCAGGCGGGCTGTGCATTTGTCAAAAGATACCTATTTAATTGTGCGAAAATACACCTAAGATAAAACGTATCATCTTTTTTGCAAGTAGGCTCCATGCCAGCCTGGAGCCCAACACGGGGCTTGAACTCACAACCCTGAGATCGAGATCTGAGTGGAGACCAAGAGTCAGACGCTTCACCAACGGAGCCGCCCGGGCGCCTCCACTCAAGTCGGCTCTAGTCTCCTGACCTTACCAAGCAGTGGGGAAGTAACCCTCCTACTTATCTGACTTCCATCCGGGGTTTCCGTGTTGTCCTGAATGCAAGCAAACCCTGTCGATTCTCTGAGATTTATGGAACGATCTGGACTCCAAAGAGGGTCTTAAATTTCTCCCTTGGATGCTCAATCTACCAGCAGGTTTTGACAGGAGCGGACCCTCTCTTTTGAGCTCCAGACCCTTTGTGCCCCTTCTAGGTGTCCTCCAGGGGTGGGAGGAGGGGATGGTGGTGTCACACAGTGGGGGAAACTGAGGCACGCTTACCCAGAAATAGTCACAATAGCTCCACTCGGTCGGTTTCAGCAGCTGTTGCTCTGGCATCGTGTCTGGGTGAGGGAACGTCACACAGTTTATCTGCAGGGCACAAACAGGAAAGAAAATGCCTCATCTGGAAGGCTGGGAGCCGCCAGGAAGGCTCTGCCCCCGGAACACAGCATTGCTGAGGTCTCCCGTCAGCGCCAGCTTGAGAGAATGTGCCCTGAAGGCTTGGGGATGCTCCAGGGGCTCACATTTCAAGTGAGGGGCAACAGCACCCACCCCCACCCCAATGGGGCCGGAACCGGTCCCAGTGCTCTGAAGGGCAGTGTAACAGGACTTCTCCAACCCACAAACCAGGGACTGCAATTTGGAAAAGGGCGCTCTGAGGACGTATCTGCGTGCGTGTGTGCAATGACACGCGCACACAGCCTTTCAGACCATCCATAGCAGAAAAACACAGCCCCAGAAGCAGGGGAGTGGCTAAACAGAGCACAGGATGGTGGCGGGGCGGGGCGGGGGGGGGGTGCACCTCTTGGGGTTTGCATGGATAGCCGAAGACACCGGGAGAAAGTCTAGGTCCTATGACTCAGCGGGAGGAAAAAAGTCAAGATATCAAATAGTATTTAGAGTTGCTACCATTTGTGGAGGGGGGGAGGAAGAAAAAATATGGACACATTTGGTTATTTGGTTATTTGGTTATTTATGTATAGAATCCTAGAAGCTGAGGACATCCCCGGCTTCCAGAGACAGGAATTAGGCAGCAGAGAGGTTACCATGTGCATTTTAATCACTGTATGTATTCTACAAAGAGCTGAAAGCGATCACGAAGGACGGGTGCTTGGGGCTGGCCCTCGCCCAGGAGAGGGCAGTGCAGACATTCCTGGGGCCTGTCTCAGACCTTCCTGCCCGAGCATGTCCCCGACGTCCTGGCTTTCCCCGCCAGGTGGAAACGGTTTTGCCACTTCTGTTGCTGATGTCGCTTCAAGCCCGGGATCTGCTTCTGGGGAGCCCGTTCAGGGAGTTTTTTTGTGGGAGCTGCAGAACCTTGGGGAGCCCACACCTGCTGATGTGGGAGGAACGGTGCAGAAAGCCCTGGGGTTCTGGACAGAGGCCACAAACTCCAATGCGAGGCAGCCATGCAAATGGGCGAGGGGCTGCCTGTGTAGAAGCCGCAGTTTGGGTGGGGGTGACCGGCCTCCGCTCTGGGAAGGGGCAGGGGCTGCGAGATCCTTCTAACGAGCAGATTCCTCTTGGCTCCTGCAAACTGTTGGCAAGCTGGCAGGAGGATCCCGGTGGGTCGCCAGTCGGGTGACACGACCCAAGAGGGGCTGCAAATCGGGATGATTGCGTGAAGCGTCTCCAGGTTTAAAGGTTGGCACGTAATTCAAAGTTAATGGGAATAACGGCGAGGACGTCAACAACAGCAGCATGTCAGGCAAAGAAACTTCTCTGCAAGCTAAGTCAGGCCCACAGGCCCCCAGCCTTGACCTCGGGGTTCAGGGGCTCACGGGATGCTGAGTACATGTCGCATGGGCATCGTCCCACATCCTGCCCCGGCTGCCAGGGGCCGGGGTCTCTCTTGTGGTCCCAGCCAAGGACAGGAGTGCCCTCCTCTGGGTTACACACACCTGGTGGAAAAAGGGCCGAGATGCCCCGTCCGGAGGGAAGCGTGGCGCGGCAGGAAAGACCAGGGGCAGGAAGGACCCAGAGAACCCTGGAGATGGGGAGCATGGAATTTCCCCAAGGTCAAGGAGGGAGGCCCCAGGGTGGGGAATTTCCTCCTGGTGCCTTCCAGTGGGGGAGGGCCAGCCTCTCCATGATGCCCAGCATCAGGCAACCATCTCCCCAAACCCTCTTTTCAGGCTGACACCCTCAAGGGGTGCCCAGAAGGGAGTCTCCCACTAAGGCTTTGACAATCATGGAAACAAGGGCCAGATTCCAAAGGTTCGCATATTCCTTATTTCACTGGCTGGTTATTCTCTTTCTACAAATACCTGCGATCACAGGACACCCTTGTGTTGCTTAATAATGAGGTCTGTGCAAATTTCAACGAAATCCAATAACAGATCAACAGAGACATTAGATAGGGTGTTAAGCATCATGGAACTAGGGGGACAGAGGTACTTAGAAGTGGACACAAATGTCTTTTAGAGCACCCTCTTGGGAGCTAGAGGTGAGGGGGATGGGGAGGGTGAGGTCTCATCCCTGTCATTGCTTTTACCACTTTGTGGGGACACCGGTCCTTGGACGGACCGGCCAGGGGCCCCAGGGTGCCTGTCCCCGCCTCTCCCAGCTCTGGTTTGGGGATGTCTGCTCCTGGCTGGCCCACAGGGATTAATCACCCCAATGCTCCTCTGAGCCCTACACCCCTGCCGGCCCTCTGGGGGGAGGCAGTCGTAACCACTGGGAATCCCTGGAGAGCCCGTCCTCAAGGACCCCACCAGGAGCCTTGCACGCATTCCCGTGTCATCGGTCATCGTCCCGGCCGTCAGTCACGTTGCTACCCGTCCACTGACTGCGTGCAAACGTTTCTCACGTGCCCCTCGAGATGCTAGATCTTTCCAGCACTTAGCACACATACATTTGTAATTACGTTTCTCACGACCGTTTAATCAGCCAGACCGTCTGTTCCACAAGGGGAGGGAGACCCTTTCCCTGCTGCTTCCCTCATCCCTGGGAAACGGAGGCCCCTGGGGCGGCTCAGTAAGCATTTCTGGTGCAGGCCAGAGGCGGACAGAACAGTCTCTGTACTCGGCGACTTTACAGCCTCGCGAGGAAGCAAACAAGTACGTAAGAGATTGCACGGCTCTGGGATAAATCTACCACTGGTGATAAGCCTCCCTCGATATGCAGGACCACTGCCCACAACGGAGGGGCTCCCACCCAAAAGAAGAACATGTAGAGAAGCCTTTCCCCATGGAAACTTCCCAGGCGTGGAGTCCCATGCCTCCTGGGGAGCCACTTTCCAGGTTAACACCACCTCCAGGACAAAGCCTGCCCTCCTCCCAAGGCCTTCTGGGCACAGCGAGAGCCTGGATGGCATCCTCCTCCTCATAAACATGGAGGACATGCTCAGGAACTGCCTTCTACTCCAAGAAGAGCTGAAACTGTGCCAGCCGTTGCCCCAACTGCTGTCCCCGCCAGGCAGATGCCATTATTAGCTCCGTGCTACAGAGGAGCAAACAAAGGCACAGAGAGGTTAAGTAACTTCTCCAAGATCACACAGCCTGTGTGTCGCGGCAGAGCCCATGTCTGAAGTCAGGCAATGCAGCTGTTTTTAGCTCTCGTCATGCTACCTTCCACACACCCCACCCACGGCAGGGGCTCGGGTAGGAAGGGGTGCTTGACAGGGAGCAGGAGAGGGGTATGGAGAGGGAGAGGAGCAGTTCTGGGGGGGTGACCCCCACCCTCGCTCCTCTGAGGCTACCGTCATCCACCAGTAGCATCTTCACGCTGACACCGTTTTCTCCAACCCGCGGATAAATAGCGGAACCCCTTCCCTGCCCCATGGTCCCTTGCCCACCTACCTGGTAGCTAGCTCTGTGTTTGCTTCTGGAGGGAGGCTGATGTGCGAGGGTGTGCAAGATTGGAACTCAGAGCCAGGGTCTGTGCAAGCAGAAAAGACCCCAAGGGCTCACCTCCAGCCCACCAGCCCCCCCCCCACCGCCCACCAGGGATCCAGGGCATCCGATGGGCCACACGAGGAAGCGGGGGCCGAGGATGACGGGAGTCCCCCAGACTCCTCTTTCCAGGAGAGGAATATGGTTACTACGGCTTTGTAGTCATCTCCTCTAGAATCCTCTAGATTTCTGGCACACCGTGTCTGTGCCGAGGCCTGGGAGAAGCCATGACTGCCTGTCAGTCCTAATCAAACAGCCCACTCAGAGCCTGGCCCGGCCCAAAGCTCGCTCCAGGCCAGCCATGGGAGGGGAAGCTGGAATGTCAGAATCGAGCTCAATCCGGACTCTATCGGGACGCAGCCCGGGATCCTCTGCTGCCCAGTGAGCAACTCAGTGAATGCCTGCAAATGTCCGCTCCATGGGGTCGGACAACGTGGGAGACTGCTTTCTCCCCCCTCCATACCCCATCCCCACCTGCCCGGAGAGGTTAGCCGGTGCCCCAGGAGCCGGACATCCCTCCTTCCCCCTACCCTGTCCAGTGGCCCTGCAGGGTCCTCTCCCTGGGAAACTATGAGCTCTGGAGGACCGGAGCCCTGAGGGAGGGCTGGGAACGGGGCAGCAGGGAGGAAGGGCGATATGGACAGGAAGGAGCAGCAGCACACAGGCCTTCGCTCATCTCGGCCCGGACACATCATCTCTGCTCCTTGCCCGCTCTGTGCCCTCTGGGCAGTCCCTCCTGTCCTCAGTTTCTCCAGCAGAAATTCCCCGAGGCTTAAGTGTTTATTTAAAACCATGGTGGGCGGGGGGAGGTGTTGGTGACAGTGCAAACGTCCATCCAGGCTGGGCTCCAGATCAACTAAGTGTCGGTCTAGGAATCCATCAAGGAATTTGCATTTTAAACAAGTGTCCCAGAGGCTTCGGCTGCCTACTCCACTTTGCTGGCTCGCTCTGAGAAGCTCTGATTTAGGTCAGCGGGAAGGAGGAGGGAAGACGCAAGGCAGGGGACAGACAATGAACCGGAGGAGACCCTGACCAAGAGCCAAGTTCTAGCCCAAAGCCAGGGCACAGCAGGTGACTCAGGCCTCACCCCGGGGCCACCAGGACCATCCCCACCAGCAAAGTGCTTTCCATTCTGCATTTGTCCTTTTTACTTTTCTTCTGCGATTCTCATATACCAGCCCCTCCCTCCTTCTCCCTCTTTCCGCACCGTTCCGGGGAACTTTATAGGGAGGTTCCTGCTTTGCCTGGGGCATTCTGTGGCACTAGGAAGACAGTCTGTCCCTGGGTCTGGCTCACGTCCTACCCCAGGCCCCACTATCCTCCACAGACAACCTCCACAGGCCAGGAGAGCACAAGTCTCTGAATCCCGATGCATCCCAGCTGGGCGAGGCATGGCTGCCTGCCTCAGTTCTGCCATCTATAAACAGGGTCAAGAAGATGAGTGTGCACTGAGCACTTACTACGTGCCAGGCTCTGTTTTAAGTGTTTTCCGTATACAGACTCATTTAGTCTTTACCCTATCCCCAGAGCACAGACACCCCCCATCTCCCCATTGTACAGATGTGGACACTGAGGCACAGTAGGGCAGAGAAACTCACCCCAGGCTGCTGTGCAGATAGTAGGTGCTTTAATAGACACCCCCGGCCCCAGAGCCTTCATTCACAGTCACCACACGAGGTTGGTCCCATACCTCCACCTCACACAGGGAGTGGAGAGCTCAGTGAGCACCTCAGAACACTACCGGTGCATACTCAGTGCACACTAAAAGGGCAACAGTTATTGTTGCTGCTGTCACTGTGTATCCAAGCCTCTCTTTTCTCCCAGAGCAAGATTTTCGGCCTGCACGAGCCAGGGAAGTGGACCCACTCTCGGTCTCATCTCCGAGGGGATGGTCAGAACGGCTCCTGCCTCTGCTGGGGCCTAGGGGAGCAGGACCCCCATTCCCGACTCCCCTGCACTCACGACCAAGCAGCCCACCCAGGACCACACTTCTCATGTCCCCAAGTTATTGCAGCCTGAGCACCCACACAAGGTGTTTGCCCCGTTTCCCCAACATGAGGCTGGTGTGTGTGTGTTGGGGGGGGGGTGTCCTCCTCAGCTCGCCTGTGGGGGCTTGGCGAGCTTCTGGAGGAGCGAGGCAGGCTGGCCACCCCAGGCAGGAGCTGCCTGCTCCTGTCCTCCCGTCCGGAACTCTATTCTTAGGGTGCTTTCTCTTGTTTTTAACTTCGACATCTTCCGCAAGTCACCCTGTGCTGAAGCAACCTCACCGTGGCTGTAATTTACATGTCACATCACTCCGCAGAGCAAGGCCCACCCCCTCCAACCCGCCTGGGCATGTGTACCACCACCCCACCCCACCCCCCACCGCCCGCCCTGCAAAAATGGCTTCTGCATCATTCCCACCCGCCTGTACTCGGTTAATCCGGGAGAGAAAAAAGTGAAAGGTGAAATTAACAGGAGACATGGGGCAGGGGGTGGGGGTAGACTGGGGGTTAGGGGGGAGGCAGGGAGAATTTCGGCAATATCCAGGCTTTGGAACTTCCCAGATACCAGGCTGGGATTGCACTCAGCGGTCCACATTGCCATGGCAACCACCCAGCACGGCAGAAAAGCCCCAGCTCACCCCAACCTGTGCCCCCCCCCCCCCCAGAAGTCGCTTACCGTGATGGTGTTTTCCTTGCTCTGCTTTTTGCCTGGTGAGGAGGATCCCAGGTTCTGGGGAGAGAGGCAAGAGACATCATCGAAGCTGTTCTCCATACTGGACATTTTGGGTTTCTATTCGGGGCTCCCCGAGAGCTCCGTGCTGGGGAAGTTCAGGGACGCGTGTGCTCCCATTAACCCTTAAGTCACCATATTCTGGAAGAGGGCAGGCGGGAGTGTGCCTGACCCCACAATGCTCCTGGGGGGGGAAGGGGGTTGGCCGGGCTTGCAGGTGAATGAGTGCAAGGAAGCCTCCAGCACAGGCTCCAAGGGAGCAGCTCCAAACCAGGTCTCCCTCCTCTTCTCCCAGCCCCTGATTTGGGGAGCGAACACATCAGCTGCCCTCTGCTGGTGAACCGTTCCGCATGCTGCCTCAATGTGCAGACGCTGCCCCTGGGGGGAGCAGAGAGTTAAAGCAGGCCACCAGCCCCTGGCTCCAAGGACTCAGAACAGGACTTCTTACTCTGAATGCCCCCGCGGTCCGACATATCCAACCCTCAACCGTGCAATCTGCACGGGGCCCCTGGCCAGCTCCCTGAGGTGCTGCTCTCCCGACCCTGAGAGGCAGGAGAGATTTCTCAGCACAGGTGCCTTCCTGCTTTTTCATTCATTCAGCCTTTGGATTGCCTTTTTATGTCTTTCCACTTCCAGAAAATAAGCCACTGTCCCAAATACCTCTGAGCCCACGCGTCCCGAGCAGTTTGCCCCAGTCCCAGGATGGTTCTGGGACAGAACATTAAGGATTACCAGCTGAAGACACCACCCTGGTCACAGGAGACTGTGACCCTAAAGGGGAGGATGGTCCATTCTGGGTCTTCGTTGCCCTGTTAGTAGCAGTTTCATTAGTAATTCAAGAGGGTCTCTGAGCTGGGCATGCGTTGGCCATTCTATCCTGAGCCACTCGATGAGTGGGGAAGTGGGCTCATCAAGGCATTGTCAGGGCCATTAAAGGCATGTATTGGGACCCACAGCCTTCTTTCTCTGGCAGAACCTTAGGATGTGAATGGCAGAGAGGTTTCTCAGCCAGCCTTGGGGAACCAGTGGTCCCCCATCCCATCCCATCCCATCCCATCCCATCCCATCCCATCCCATCCAAGGCCAGCACAGCCCTTGACCACCAGCAGGATGAACATCTGGGCATAGGGGTCAGCCCTGCCTCAGGAACCCCTCTGCTCAGCACACAAAATGGGGAGCCTGACAGAGCCCTGCTCACGGTCTGCTCATCCCCTTACTCCTGGCCAGACCCACCTGGGCTGGTAAGGAAAGTCTGTTCACGGAACCCGATACCCTAAGAGCATTGCAGACAAGAGTCCCCTGCCAAGTCACATGACTTCTCTCACTTTCGCTGGTTGCTCTCAGTGGTCCACAGGCTTTGGAGGGCGTAAGAATGAGCAGGAATTGGCCCTAAATTGGGTCGCAGCCGCACCTCCCAGAGCTGACCCAGCAGCTCTCCGGGGAGCCAGCACCTCTGAAGCAGAGCCTGGTGGCCTCTGCTGGGGACACGCTGATCTGTGTTCTGTCATGCATCAAGGCTCCCCTACCTCTAGCAGCCGCTCCAGCAGCCCCAGCAGGCTCTGGGGCGACCTCAGGCTTGTGACCAACCACAGCTTCTGCAAACATTTTCAAACCATCGGCACATCCAGTTCACCTACCCTGGACCCTCCTGGGCTATCAGTGGTACCCCAGAGCATTTGCCCAAACTGGGCCACCGGGGAGGAGGACGGAGGCCACGAGGTAGGAGCTCAGGTGCTGCTATCCTGCGACAGAGGCAGGGATCTCCTGTAGGCTCATTCGTGCCAGGGAGGGGGCTGTGGGAGGGGAGCCTCGGGTGTGGTCAGCAGAGGAAATTAGAGCCCCAGGCTGAATATCGCTTCCCTCTATATTCTTCCAGCTCCCCACATGGAGGCAGGGGACAGCCTCTTCTTTTCCAAGCGTGTCTGCAGGGGTGGAGAAAGATCTCCATCACCCACAAACCCAGATTTGGGGACCACTGTGTCTGAGGCTCTATGGAAGGAAGCCGGACACAGAGGTGGCCATCCTCCCCGTAACTCGGGCCAAGACAGGAGTGCAAATAATGGCATTGTCGGGGGGCATTCAGTGTGTGGGTGTGACCACCTTCCCCCTCTCTGCCCTCCTGGTGGGGCGGTCTCAGCCAGGGCTAACCAGCGGATGACCCCAGGCTCTTCTAGGCACCCTGGGCTCTGAGCTTGCTGCTGATAGCCTGTGACTTTCTTCCAGCATCATCCACATAAATATATGTCATATATATACCATACACATACATGTCCACATCTCTCTCTCTCTCTCTCTCTCTCACACACACACACACACACACACACACACACACACATATCCCGGTAGCACTTCCCGAAAGGGCCCCAAAGGAATGACTCCTCCATCACTGGGAGACCACCTACTAGCTGGAAGTTGGTTTCTAAATATTATTCCATACTAAGAGGAACCGGGCTCCTTGGGAGAAATGGCTCGCTCCAGATGTTCCAGATCTGGAACATCTTATTATTCTGGGAGGTTAGAAACCATGTAAAGAACGATATGATCTACGCAAAAGGACCCTGGCGCCAGCAGAGAGAAGTTCCAACAAGCCAAATTGGGGACAATTTGAGCCTGATTATGAATAATGACTACAAATGAGTAACTTCAAAAGGCAGGGGGGGCAGTATTTCTTTATGGAAGAATGCCCATAAAAATGGATAAAGCATCCCCAAATCACCATTTTTTTTAAAAGATTTTATTTATTTATTTGACAGAGAGAGATCACAAGTAGGCAGAGACGCAGGCAGAGAGAGAGAGAGAAGGAAGCAGGCTCCCTGCTGAGCAGAGAGCCGGATGCGGGGCTTGATCCCAGGACCCTGAGACCATGACCTGAGCCGAAGGCAGAGGCTTAACCCACTGAGCCACCCAGGTGCCCCCCAAAATCACCATTTGCAAACCCCAAAGTCAAAAATGGATTCAGGCCATGGTCACCAAGGATGCTCAAAGGACTGAATGAAAAGCCTGTGAAGGAACAGGATATGCCCATGGTCTCACCCTGTCCCCCCTCAAGCCCCCCGCCCAGACTGCCGGCTAATTAGAAAGGGAAAACGTACCCTTACAAAGGGATCATCGCATTAAAAGGGAGCTCAAACTCCCGGTTAACATCGAGGGTAGGATGCTAACCTGGGAGGCCCCAGGTGGTAGACGTTCTTGTCAGAGCTGTTAGCCCCGAGTCTAGGCAGAAGAAAACAATTACACTAAGCACGTGGGTCATTCTAAACTGACCCAGACTCTTCCCAAATAGAGTCACCATGCGGTAAGATGGAAGACCAAATGTGTGGCGAATACAGTCTAGATTAAAAGAAGCTAAAAGTCAGAAATGAGAGGAGACGGTAAATCCCCAGACAGAATACTACTGGGCCACAGAAAAGGAACACCGTTGCTAACACACCTGCAACATTCACAGCCCTTGAAACACTGTTGTAAGTGCAAGAAGCCAGACCCAAAAGACCACATGGGGTTCAAGTCCATGTATATGCAGAGGCAAATCCACGGAGGTAGAAAGTACATGCTTTTGGGGATTCTTCCTGGAGTGATGAAAACGCTCTAAAATTAATTGTGATGATGGCTGTGTAACTCTATGACCTCTACACTGTGCATCTATAAATGGGCAAATTGTAGGCTGTGTGAACTTCACCTCAGTATCTCAATAAAGGCGGAAACAAAAGAGAGCCAGCCAACAATGTATCAACGTACATGCGAACCTGGAATGGACCCTGCACTGGGGAGAAAAGCAGCTATAAAAGACATGTTGCGGACAAGCGGGGAGTTTGGATATGAATTATAGATATTAAATGATAATACCAAATTAATGTCTTCTTATGTGGGCTAATGACACTAAGGTCATGCCTTCCCCTACCTAGGTACACTCTGAAATGTTCCCAATTAAAACAATATGTCAGGGGGCGCCTGGGTGGCTCAGCTGGTTAAGCGCTGGCCTTCAGCTCAGGTCCTGATCCTGGGGTCCCGGGTTCGAGACCTGTGTTGGGTTCTCTGCTCAGCAGGGAGCCTGCTTCTCCCTCTCTCTCTGCTACTCCCCCCGCTTGTCCTCTCTGTCAAATAAATAAATACAAAGTAAAGTAAAATAAAATAAAACAGTATGTCAGGACTTTGCTTTCAAATAATCCTGGGGGGGGGGGCAGGGGGAGGGAATGGGGATATAAATGAAACATGATTGGATCAATAATCATCGCAGTGAAATGACTAGTCCCCAGGACTTCCTTATACCATGCCTTCTACTTTTCTGAATGTTCACTAATGTGCATAATAAAAGTTCTTTTGTTGTTGTTGTTGGGTTTTTTGTTTGTTTGTTTGTTTTTAATGGCTGTTGCCTATGGTTCTAGAAAGTTGTACTCCTTTCCTTCTTAAAAGTCCCTCCCCAGCCTGGTCTCCTCCTCTGGCCTGGGCCACTGTGGTGTTACTGTGAGGTGAGGACCCACGGGGGATGGTGACCTACAAAACAGAACTGGGGGAACTAGAGCGCACTGTTCACAACTGACCCACAAGCCCAGGCTGGGCGGGTCTTCTGACCCTAACTCCCGGTGCCGTGAATAGCCTGGGTCCCACCTCCTCGGCAGGCAGGATCCAGAATGAAACCTCTCAATGACTTCCTGGCACCACTGGAATAAACCCAAACTCCTCACAATAGGCCTGTGCAGACTCCTCCAGGCCCCCCACTTCCACCCTCCCTGCACCTGCTGATTCCGTAAATCACAGCCCCGTCAACCTCTGCAGGTTTGTTGAAACCGCTTCTCTCCTTCCCCTCCTCTAGGCATCCACATGGGCTGTTCCCTCCACCTGGAAGGCTATTCCCCACCCCCACCCTGGGCTAAGCTAACCCCTCCCTCATCTGGCCAGTCTTAGCTGACCATGTTGTCTTCTATAGCTCATCACTGATGTTTCCAGCACCCCCATGACCACCCGAGCAGGTGCCCGGAGCACACACTTCCTCTAGCATTTACCACGGCCAACATGAAACCTCCGGTCTTCTCTGGCACCAGCTATAAGCCTCAACCAAAGCAGGGGCTCTGTCTGTCTGTGACTCAGTGCCTGGGCCACGAAAGAGATGCTCAAAGGAAAATATGTCACTGGACTGAGGGGGGGTTCCCGTTAGGTGGCTGAGTTTCAACATCTTATCTCCACCTCAAGCCCCCTTCTCCATTCGGACCCTTAAGTTTCCAAGCCCTCGGTCTCACCTGTTTCTCCTCTCCCATAGAGGAAAGCAGGACAATGGAAAGGGTTTCACAATAGGGCATGGGCTTGTCCCTCGCCTGCTCCACATGCACAGGGATCAGAGGGATCCCACCACGGGGCAGGCGGGCAGGGACAGGCCAGAACGTGCTTCTGCAAAGGCCAGCGAAACTCAGCCTCTGATGTCCCAGCCCCCCAGTCCGGTGGGCCCAATTTATCCCGTGTCTGGGAAGCCCACCCCAGGGTTGCGGGCCAGAAACCTCCACTGGGTGGCGCCAGATCCCCACCACTTGTGCCCAGCCATCTGGTCTCCCAGGACTGGAGGAGAAGAGGGCAGTCCAGCCCTAGACGGGAGGCAGTGGGGACACGTTCCCCCCCACATTGTCATTTCCCTGATAAGCTTGCTTGAGGGGTACCGGCTCACCGAAAAGAGAACACATAAGGCTTGGAGCATACCCTGGGCAAGTGTTTTGACCTGCCCCCAACCCTGTATCTCAAACGACCCTGTGCTCGTTTTCTCATTCATTCATCCTTCCGGTATTACTATGCTTTCATCGTTGTCCATTATAACCGGCAGCCTGGGACCGTGTGAGTCAACGCTACGCATGCTCCAGGGCGCTGTATAGATCAGGGATCATCTGTTGACAGCACTCTGTGTAAGCCCTAAAACTTCTCATCCTGTTTCTATGATTGGCCCCAAGCACCTTTGTGGAGAGCCTTGCACGGCCTAAAAAAAATGATACGCTACCTTCCAGTTCTGGGAACTGGTGAGCGACCGTATTTGCTCTCTCCGTGCTGCGTTACTTATTCCTGTTACTCCAACAATACCTCAACTCTCCCCATTATGGTCCAGAAAGAATGCACTCCCCCTGCTCCTTAAAGCAGCCTCTCCCTTCCCCCTCTTGGGTCTCCACAGCGGGATGGTCCCACATCCCCAAACACGGGTAGCCTGCTTCTCCTAATGCGCCGGGCACCTGCCTCCTACTCAAGTAAAATGTGTTCATTTCAGGAAATGTGAAAGATCCTGCAACGTATAAAGAGAAAGTTCTTCAGACCAAGGTCTCTCGACCTCAACACCACTGTGTTTTTGAACTGGTTAATTCTTTATGGCCGGTGGGGCTGGGAGGTGGGGGGCTGTCCTGTGCCCTGTGGGATGACTGGCCATATTCCAGAACCTTCCTCACTATGCCCCTGTCCCCAGCGGTGACGACCGAAACGTCTCCAGACAAATGTCCCCACAGAGCGTCACACTTAGCCGCAGAGAGGACCAACATCACCATTCTCATTTCTTTTTCTCTGCATCCTTCGTCTTCACGAACATGTGGGTTTCCTCCTCCCAAGTGAGCCTGGCTGTGTAACGGAGCGGGCGTGTTACATTTCCTGCTCGGCATCAGGTTCTCAGTCTTTTCTTCAATTCGTGAACTTTTCTTCAAAAATGGGCTTTCTCGTCCGCATGAGAGAGTGGGCTGGCTGTGTGGTGCCAGACGTCACTATAGCCCTCCCCCCGCCACTGGACACTTTTGTTGGGTCCCCTGCCACAGGGCCGTAAATAATGCTTGAGGAACACTGGCCACACAAATCAGAATCCCTGAATGTCTTCTAAGAACAGATGCTGCATGGGGATATTCCCGGGTCCAAGTAGCTTCTGAGAAGTTTCAGTCAATATATGTTTAAAAAAATTAAAAAGTTCGGGAACAACTGCACAGTATTTTGGGGCTGGGCGGGGGGAGCATTGGTTTTTTTGGGGGGTGTATGTCATAATACAGCAGAACTTAGGCTGATGGCTTCAGAAAGCAGTCCGCAGCCAGGTGGTAAATCAGCTTCTTTCCAAATAGACTGACAGAGGCTGTGCTGGAAAGGCTGGGGCGGGGGGGGCGGGGGGGGCTCAGCAGAAAACACACAGTGCCAGGGCTGCGTGTGATGCGTGCCCTGAGCAGGCGCATGAAGGGGACACAACCACATACACTGTGTACTATTGACCAGACCCAGACCCTCCTTGCTCAGGCACAGTCCCCTCACCATCACCAGCATCACCAGCACCATCAGCATCGCCAGCACCACCAGCATCATCAAGCACCATCAGCATGAACAGCATCACCAGCATCAGCATCGCCAGCACCACCAGCATCAGCATTGCCAGCATCATCAGCATCGCCAGCATCACCAGCATCATCAAGCACCATCAGCATGAACAGCATCACCAGCATCAGCATCACCAGCATCACCAGCATCACCAGCATCAGCATCACCAGCATCACCAGCATCAGCATCACCAGCATCAGCATCACCAGCATCACCAGCATCACCAGCATCAGCATCACCA